TACTGTTCTTGATTCCAGTTTTTCAAATGTAATTAACCCTCCAGTTTAAAAATATGGCTTCTGTTTGTGGTGACGTGGGTATTCCTGAGTGTTTATACCCACAAAAACTTCAAAGTTTGTTTTGTTCCTGTTACACTTACTTCCCATCAGTTGCAAAATGGCCATATAATGACTAGAAAAAGATGAGTCTGTGACTTAACAAGCTGCATTTGCTTATTTGAAGTTAGGAAATCGTGGTTCGGTGTCATTTGTCTTTAAAATCAATAAAATCCAAGGCTTCTTATATTTGTAAAGCTGTTTTGTAATGATGATTGAGGTTTCTTCTCTTATTAAAGGAAAGGACCCATTTTCAATGGAATGTTGTAGCTTTTTAGGGAATTCAGCCCTACTTGTTATATATAACAATTTACTTATATTTATATGTTATATATAACAATTTAAACTTCTGTGAGTTTAAGAAGCCAAATTGCTTCCCTATGTTACGGAGATCCAAAATGAGGGCATACAATATAAATGCAACTATGCTGTGTTTCAGTGTCAAAGACATGGGGCTAAATTGTCTCCTTCATTGAAGCATGCTTACAGCCTGGTGGGGGCTCTAAATAGTAAGAGTTGGCTATGATTGATAAGGAGCTTTATGCCGGCTGAGGATTTTCGTTTTGACAAGAGCCTGAATACAATGAGCAAGTGTGTTGGGAACACTGGCTTTTCTGCCTTAATGTGGGTTGAAAGTATCCCATCTTCTAGGCAAGTCTCAACTGACCAGTACATCCAAAGAATTTCACATTTGTGCTACTGGTGTAAGAGGGCTCTTAGGTTGAGAATGTGGCCCATTGTTGACGGCCATCTAGATTATGAGTTCTTAAAACGACATAAGGATAAACATATTTATCATGTTGTTGTTGTAGTTTTGGTCTAGCCCAACTTAAAGATTCTCTCGTGCCTCCACTGAATTCTCTTCATTTTGTGTGTCATCGTAGGAAATAAACACTCAGGCTGCAGATACATCTGCATCACCACATATCGCACATTCAGGCATTCATGCGGCAAGGTAGAAGCATGGGGAGGTTTTCTGACTATGGAAGATCCCAGGGTCAACCCCTCCCCTCCTCACCACCCCCCCACAAAAAAAAAGTGGGGTAGTGCATGCAGGGTCAGCACATGCTGGCCAAAACTGGAGCCTGGCCAGCCAGAGCCACACTCCAGCTGCTGGCCAGGCTCTGAGTGGCAGGATAATTTTCAGGGTAGTGAGGTTCTACCAGGACACCCCTGTGATTAGAAATCATTTTACCTATTGGTTTAGGGGAGAATAATGCACTTTGTAAAAATATAAAGGTCCAGATTTGATGCAGATTAAATTATAGGGGAAAAAGTGCAATCAAACCTGACTACTGAAATACTTAGTAACATGTACTTCAGAGTTCAGTTTCTGATCACCTTACAATGCTGGCTTTAAGCAATAATATCATATTGGATATAAATATCATTTACCAAATAATTGTTTGCTTGTTATTCCAGTAAACGGCTCCTCCATTCCCCACAAAGAAGCTATTTCAGTAATTCTTAAGCTTCTGTAATGTCATTCTATTCTATATAGACTCAAGGACAACGTCCAGATGAGCGCAGATGTTTGGTTCCCCGGGAACAAGTAGCAGTGGCACACCTTGTGCTGCTGCTACTTGTCCCTGGGGAAAACCCATGCCATGCATGCTCTGGTGTGCAGCTGGTTACCCTAGGTGAGGTGGGGGAGGTTGGGGCCAGCAACTGTGCCAGTCCCAGCAGCCTTACCTGAAGTCCTGGGGGTTGGGGAAGCTGTAGACATGGCGGTCCTCTAGCGGGAAACCTGGCCAGCAGCCAGAATATGGCTCCAGCCAGCCAGGCTCCAGTTTTTGGTGGTGTGTGCTGCTGCCATATGTGCCGCCCCACATCTTTTCCTGTTTTTATTTTTAACCCGAGGATTTCCCAGGGTCAACCCCCCCAGTCCCCACTGCAAGGGAGCAGTGCAGGGAATGCCTGAATGTGCAGTGTGTGATGCTGCAGACATATCTACGGTGCTACATACTGCATGGCCAGGCTCGTATGGACACAGCCAAGGAGCTGACAGGGCTGGCAGAAACCTACAGTAGAAAAGAATCCCTGTTCCACCCATTTTATTAAAGTAAGAAAAAGAGGCACCATTTTGATATCTCTAACTAATTGTACATTAAGGTTAGTTCTGTGGTTTGCATTGTTGCAAGAAGGATGACAGTAAGTCTTTTTTAAACTCTTAACTCTCATAATGGGAAGCGCCTTGAAATGTGACTCTGGGTCCATAGGCCATTTTTTCTTGTCAAGACTGGAGATGTGAAACAGAACAGCCAAAGCTTATAATGAAAAAAAATCTGGCATCCCCAAACAAAAATGGGGTCGGCCATAGCTACATTGTTTACCTAAATAAAATAAATAAAGCTGAGAGTCTGGGGAGTGGACACTGGATTGTAGGGATCTCTCCTTCGTGTATTTTTAAGACAGAGTTACAATTGTTGGGATTTTTGTGTAAGTAGAGAATGTACGAACAATAGGGATCACTCACTTTGCCTAGTTCTGAAATTCAGCCACCAGTGCAGAATAACATGAGAACAGTTTGAGAGGAAGTGTGGAACACTATATTCAACTGAAACTAATTACCTGATTAGATTTTGGCCTGGATGCCAGGGTTGACATCCAATGGTCTTGGCGATAATACCTGCAAACAAAGCCAAGTCTAGTCTTTTTTTTTTTTTTTTTCATTTAAGGACTCCAGACAAAACTTTTGAACTTGTGTGCTGAAAGTTAAGTATTGCAAAAATAGGCCACATATATTTAAAGCCCTGATGGTTCCCAGGCCTGTCAATAGGCACTTGGCACCTTTGAAAACCAACATGCTTACTGGCATTCTAATTTAAGCATAGGTTGACTTTCTTTAAATATAATGCAAAACCCAGCTTTCATAGCATCTTGCTGGATCCTCAGTACTGTCTCAAAAGAACATGTTATCTGTAGAATTAGTAACACTATCCCTGCAATGTTTCTGATTTTCCTTTTAGAAGTGTATCATCCAAAGACTGGGTTGATGTATTTCTTCCCAGTTCCAGATATAAACCATAATAACCTTACCCAAGAAGTAAGGTTACCTGGTTTGACTTCATACAGTACTTTTTTTTCCACCCACCATCATAAAAAGGGGACCTCTGAGTTTTAGTACATCAAGACTCTTGCCACTTCTATAACCCCTTCTTCCACCTTCTCAGTAATAATGTCTCTGTCTCTCTCTGGCTTTGAAGATGGCTTTGTAACTTTTTTTTAAGCTTTCCTGTCAGAAATCTTTGTGCAACATTCCAAGTGCCTGAAGTGTTTGGATGCTCTACATGTATTTATATAACATTAAACAAATGGTTACTGTTTATCTCTGGACTGTTGTAAAGAGACAAAGCGGCTATTTATTTTTTCAGAGAGATTTTTTAGCTTTTCTGGAAAAAAAGTTATTTTTTTAACTACATGCTATTACTTAAGTTGCAGTCCATTATCATTGGTAGAGGTATGTTTAAGCATACCTCTGGAAGGTGGTCTGACGTAGTGAGGCAGGTGGCTCAATGCAGGATCACCCTCTACTGGCCCGCCACAGGGAGCATGCTGGGTAGACATGTAGACAGCCTTGACCACTGCAGAGGGCATTTGATCTGGATCTTTCTGTTTGTCTGGAAAATCCAGAATTACCTTCACCTCCAACAGTGCTTTTCTCCTCCAGTCTCCTATCTTATACGTAGGAGGTTGGAAGAATATCTCAGGTATGTTGTTAAGCTCTGTATAGGTGACCTTGTTTTCTAAGGAGAAATGATAATTTGGAAGAGTTGCCAACTAGATCAAAATATTGGTCCACAAAATCCAGTGGGCAGTTTCTGACCTTGACAGATGTCCGAGAAACTCAACAGATGTATATTAAATAATCATTGCATTGCAAAATATTTTATTCCTATCTTCTCAGTAAAGTTTATTAACATCTTTTTTCAAATTCTACATATAAAAAAGCCTATTACTTTTTCAGTTCTACTAAACTATTTGCCTAGAATACTGTATGGTTAACTATGTTAAATATTTCTTCGTGGTACTCTTGAATTTATTGCTTGTTACCCACTGGATCCACCCCATCAATATATGTGGATTTATTCTTAAGGAGGCATCATAAAACCCAAGAAACTTGAGAAATAATATTAAGGAGGGTACTTTGATAAACACTACTTAATATCTAAATTGACTAAGTATTGTAGGTTGGAATTGACAAGGCTTGGATCTCATGGCTTCAACCAGTGACAGGAGAATTCACGTTATATAACCTTTTTGTTTTGTTTTGTTTCCTCTCTGAATGAGGTTATGCAGGTGAGTGATCACAGGAATGGCTGAGCTCCTCTGACTCCTGAATCTTGAAAGCAATCAGTTTTAGCATATACTTTTGTACCCTGACATTTTCCATTTGACCAATAAAAAGGTCAAAGCATCAGATTTCGAATAGACAACAATAGTGAGGTCTTAAAGCAAGGGATATTCAGCTTGGCCTTACCTCCTAGTGACCAGAAACTTGTTCTGGCTGGCACATTTGAGGTCCAATGAACCCTAGAAATTACCCAGTTTCTATGAAAACTAGATGCCTCTTGAGTGCTATTAGTATCCCAACTCCACCGAGAGGTTCCATGTAATTGAAGAAATCTTATGTTGAGCTCAGTGAAGGAGTTAATGGATGATAGATCTCTGGGAGAACTATGTATGTAGGAGGTCAAAGTGGGTGTTTTAACTCCATTAGAGCAGGTAGTAGATGTATTTTTCCCTCTAAAGCAGGTGCATAAAGTGTATGGTGATGCTAGCTAGAAAACTTGGTGAATAATATCTAACTGCTGAAAAAGTAGGCAACTCTCCTTTCAGATTAAATAAGGGTAACATGTATTTATATATGTATTTTCTAACTATTACTTACATTATTGTTGCAGGATGATCTGGAAACTCATCTTTTCCATTTTTCTGGTGGCAGCCTTCATTAGAGTAACAGAGACCAGGAAAAACCGTCCTGCAGGAGCTATTCCCTCTCCATATAAAGACAGCAGCACCAACAACTCTGAAAGGCGGCAACACCTAAATAAAGAAGTACTGGCCTCTAGCCAGGAAGCCCTTGTTGTTACTGAGAGGAAGTATCTTAAAAGTGATTGGTGCAAAACACAACCCTTGCGGCAGACTGTCAGTGAGGAGGGCTGTATAAGCCGTACCATCATCAACCGCTTCTGCTATGGCCAGTGCAACTCATTCTATATCCCACGGCATGTGAAAAAGGAGGAAGAATCTTTTCAATCCTGTGCTTTCTGCAAGCCTCAGAAGGTTACCTCCTTCACGGTGGAGCTGGAGTGTCCCGACATGGATCCTCCTTTTCGACTCAAGAAAATTCAGAAAGTTAAGCAGTGCCGGTGTATGTCAGTGAACCTCAACTCAAGCAAACAATGAGAGCAAGGATGTGGCTGCTGCTTGGTGTTACCACATCATATTTGCTGTTGCCTCTCCTTTCCCATGAGCACACTTATGGGCTGGTTATTTTTTTTTCTATCAGGAGGCATCTCTCCAGCAGGGAAGGATTTCTGTCACTTGCCTACTGGAAATAAAGCTTATCCTGGGCTATATTAGGCACCTTGCCATAAAGCTTCAGTATATCTATCTCCAATGTAATCTTCTTATTGAATTTTTAAGGGTGGAGCAGGCTCCAAGAATTTGGGATTGATCTTCCAGGTGACTGATGGCTGAGTCTGGCATTACCATTTCCACTATGTGGAAAAAGCCCTCTGCCCTACACTCCAGTACCCTCTGTGTGAAGAGGAGGAATCTTTTTATGGCTCTCGGTCTTCAGTCCAGAACTTTTCACTTTGAAGCGCTTGGTGCTGTTGTCTGAGGCTATGTGATGCAGAGACCGGACCCAGTACTATACTATGAGAAAGTGAGAGTCTCTAAAGAGCCTGATCGTGATAAAACAAGGTGAAATGTGGGATGATGAACTGTCCTAGGCTTAAGAGTGAGAGAGAAAAGCACCAAGGGAGGGGGCGAGGGGTGTTAGGTCAGCCACCACACTTGCTTCAATAGATTGACGATATAGTTCTTTGCTGTTGTGGTTAGAATATATCAAACACATGGTCTCTTCTGCAATGTCTATTTTGTAACCTAGCTATAGTAAACAGCTGTTTAAAGTATTATAGACCTAGCTATGTATATTTGTTTCTTGTGGTGGAAACTCTGGAGGCTAGATTAAAGCTTCTTGAGGAAGAGACTTGGGTGCTAGGTCAGTCACCTGACTTGAAACTGACAGAATTTGAATGGGCTTTCAGTAGATTCAACATTACTTTTTTTTAACTCCAAAAAGGACTGTGCACCATCCAGTTATTACTTTGTATTTATGCCTGCTGGGGTTTGTGTTTCACTTAAGTTATTAAAGCACCGTAGCACATAAGACAGACTGTAATCATTGTTGAGTTGAACACAAAAGTTGCCATACATGTCAGTCAAGTTAAGACTGTTGGGAGTTAGGACTGGTGTTTTCCATATGCGGAATGGAAATCAAGTAATTTTTCTGTTGTCAGAAGACAAAACAATTAGTAAATGCCATAAGAATGTGTCACTGCTATAGAAGTGAGGACGGATCGCTCACACTTCTATAGAAACTGGGAGGGAATGAGCTGTTGTAATTTCTGAAGCACTGTTGACCCATTTAACTTTCGGTATAAAGATATAATAAATCAGTATTGGTAGATTCTCTTAGTTCATTTACAATCATACTAAGTTACTTACTTGGCAGAGTTTAGTGTGTCTGTATATTCAGTAGGTTCCAGTTCAGTTAATTTTCTGTGTTTTAAAGAGGAGAACTTTAAAGTAACTGGTTGCTAATAAACATTTGAAGAGCATACAAGTTAATAACAATGACAAGTGTGACCTTGTTGCATGCCTCAGCGCTTAGCACATACAATACTTCTTGTTCAATTAAACCAGCTTACTATGGAGCTCTTCACTGCCAGCTTCTTCAGATATGATCACTCCAAGGGGTTAAAGTGTTCAGGACTGTTGCCAAATACAAGTTTAGTGGCACAGTTCTCCATTATGTGAGACAGGCTGCTTTAAGAGGCTTACAGTACTGATCTCTCCTAGATCTCATCAATCGGTTTACGGGGATTGGCACAGGGAGGATGGGGTTGAGCAGGCATGTTATCCCTGCTATATGAACAGCTATGTTGCCTGTGTTTGTTACACAATGTCAGGGCCGTGTAGCTCCTAGCACAGCACTGGCTTTAGAAGCTGCTGCTGTTGGCTGTATGCCAGCCAGCCACAGATTGGGGACTACCAAATCCAGACTGTTGGACTTTATTGATCAAAATAAAAAGGGTGAGGTAGGAATGCCTGCAATCCATTAAGACTCCAGGGCTATGAGACTACCCTTGGAGAAAAGCCACCTAAAACCATGCCCTTGCATTTAGGTCTAGCTAGAAAATGCCCTAGTACCTTCTTCATTGTATTAAGTCTAAAAATCATTTTAGGTAAAATGTGCAAGGATTCTTATTATCTTTAAGCTACACCCAATGTGGGCTTCTCACCGGTTTGCAAAATAAATATGCTGCAGCATGAAGCTCCTTCTTGGGGCTTTTTATGTAAAAACTGAGTTGAACTTGTAATGGTTAAAACTGTATTTAATTTTTGTTTTATAAATGAAAACAAAATGAAATTCTATAAGTATAATGTAATTATTTTATAGGTCTGCTATTAAATTATAGAACAAATAAAGATACTCTAGGGTTATACGGTAACCAGGTGTGCGGGCTTTGCTTCAGAGTTCGGTGTCTAAGTTCTAGGTGGGGCTCTACTGGCTTATTCTGGGTTCTCAATGTCCTTGTTTCTGCTGCAGCGGGAGTTACACTGCCTCGGGAGCAGGTAGGAACAAGACTGTGGCTCAGCATTCCCCTAAATTACTCACCTGGTTTAGATGTGAGAAGGGGAAGTACAGAATCATAGATTCATAGAAAATGAGGGTTAGAAGGGATCTCAGGAGGTCATCTAGTCCAACCCCCTGCTCAGAGCAGGCCATCCTCAGCTATATATTCCTAGCCAAGACGTTCTCTAGCTGAGTATTAAAAACCTACAAGGATAAAGATTCTTCAACCTCTCTGAGTAACTTGTTCCAGTGCTTTACTACCTCCTCATGAGAGAGCTTTCCAAGCTCAGTTCCCTCAGCCTCTCCTCAGAAGGCATATGCCCCAGCCCTCTTAACCATTTTTCTTGCCCTCTACTGGACTCTCTCCAATTTGTTCACATCCTTTCTGTTGTGGTCAGGAGGGGGGTACAAAATTGGACATTGTACTCCACATGTGACCTAACTAGTGCCAAATAGAGGGGAAGAATCACGTCCCTCAATCTGCTGGCAATTCTACTGATGTAGCCCAGTATATGCTTTTAGCCTTCTTGGCAATGAGGGCACACTCGACTCAAATTCATCTTCTTATTCATTGTAACCCAGGTCCTTTTCTGCAGAGCTGCTACTTAGCCAGTCAGTCTCCAGCTTATACCAGTGCATGAGCTTGTTCCATCTAAAGTGCACAACTTTTCACTTGTCCTTGTTGCACCTCATGAGATTTCTTTTGGCCCAATCCTCCAATTTATCTAAGTTCCTCTGAATCCTAGCCTACCCTCCAACTTATCTACTACACCCTCCAGCTTGGTGTCACCTGCAAACTCGCTGAGGATTCACTCCATCCCATCTTCCAGGTCACTGATGAAGATCCTGACCAAAACCAGCCCCTCAGCTGACCCCCGGGACACTTAACATGATACCAGCTGCAATGACATTGAGTCATTTGAGTCTGACCATCCAGTCAGTTTTCTATCAGCCTTACAATCCACTCATCCAACTTGTACTTCCTTAGCTTGCTTGCAAAAATTTTGGGGGCAACCATATCAAAAGCCCTTCTAATGTCAAGGTATATCATGTTCATTGCTCTTCCCACATCTACAGAGCCAGTCTTCTCATCATAGCAGGCAGTGATGTTGGTCAGACATGACTTGCCCTTGGGGAATTCATGCTGACTGTTTGTAATCACCCTCTTTTCTTCCAAGTGCTTAGAAATAGATTCCTTGAGGACCTGCTCCATGATCTTTCCAGGGTCTAATGTGAAACTGACTGCATCCCTGGATTCTCCTTTCTTAAGGGAGGAGCTCTCCCAGTCACCATGAGTTTTCAGAGATAATGTCCAGGAGCTCTGCAATTCCATCAACCAACTCCCACAGCACCCTTGGATGCATTGCATCAGGCCCCATGGACTTGTACACATCCAGCTTTTCTAAATAGTCTCTAATCTGTTCTTTCACCAGTGCTGGCTGCTCATCTCCTCCCCAAACTGTGCTCCCAGGGGCAGTAGTCTGGGGGCTGACTTTGCCTGTGAAGTCTTTGGTGAAAAAGGCATTGAGTACTTCAGTCTTTTCCACATTATCTGTCACTAGGTTGCCTCCCCACTGAACACTTTCCCTTATCTTTCTTTTGTTGCCGGCATACAGGCAACCCCCCCACTTAGCACTCCTAAGTGGTTCTGGAAAAATGGAGAGTTAAGCAGAACAGCGTTAAGCGAAACTCATTTTCCCATAGGAATTAATGTAAATAAATATAATTTGTTACCTGCTCAGGGCCACCTTGTCTGGTGCTGTACCATTGCCGCCCACCTGGGCCCTGGCCATGGAGGCAGTGCTATTGGTCACCTCCATGCGGAGTGGTGGTGAGGTCATGGCCACAGCTGCAGTCACTCCAGCCTGGGTCCTCCTTCTCCTTCCTGGTACAGCTCAGCCTGGCTCCATAGAGCCCGTCAGACTGCACACCGTGCTCCTGCCACCTGCCCTGAACCCCTGCTGTCCCTGGCCCTGGGGCACCAGCATGGGCCCAACGCTCACCCCCACCTGCTCACTTACTGTCTGCCGTTTCCATTTCCCCATTTTCCCACCCACTGCCGCCACTTCTCCCCCCACCCAACCCATCTGCCAGCTGCTCTGGCACCACATGATGGAGCATTATAACAACACTTGCTTAGCGCTAAGTGGAATCAGGTATGAATTTAAAATGAGTGCTATAGTGAAATAGTGCTATGTGAAACTACACTAAGCAGGGGTTGCCTGGCCTGTACTTGTAGAAACCCTTCTTGTTACTTTTCATAACCCTTACTAGCTGCAAATACAGTTGCACGTTGGCCTTCCTGATTTCATCCCTGCATGCCTGAGCAATACTCTTATACTCCTCCCTAATCATTTGTCTAAGTTTCTACTTCTTGTAAGCTTCCATTTTTCATTCTAGCTCACTAAACAGAGTTCCTTGCTTAGCCAGTTTAATGTACTTCCATACTTGCTAGTCTTCCTGTGCATCAAGATGGTTCATTTCTGTGCCCTCAGTGAGGTTTCTTTAAAATCCAACCAGCTCACCTGGACTCCTTTCCCCCTCAGGCTGGCCTCCCAGGGAATCCTTCCCATCAATTACCTCAGTGAGTCAATGTTTGCTTTT